CTGGTGTCCGACCGTGGCGTCGACAAGCAGATCTATACGAGAGAGGGGATAGCTATCTTTAGGGCAGACCTGGGTAAGCCCGATTAAGGTCGGAGTAGTCGACGCAGAGTCGCCATTTACCGTTGTTCTTACAGACCAGGACCACATTTGACAGCCATCTGGGGTAGTCTACGTTCTGGACAAACCGTGCCTCCAGTAGTTTATCTATCTCGGAAGCAATAAGAGCATTGCGCTCTGGGTGAAAGATACGCTACTTCTAGCGGAAGGGGCGGAAATGGGGCTCGATGCTGAGACGATAAGTGATGAAGGAGGGATCGATACCCGGCATATCGGAATGGATCCAGGCAAACACATCATTGTGCTCAATTAGAAGGGTTGTAGGGTCGGCCTTGGCTTGGAGGGATAGTTGGCTACCGATTTTGGCTGTTTTTGTTGGCTTGGTAGGGTCGATGGGGACTTCAACAAGTTCTTCTACTGGTTCCCCTCTAACTAACTCATCTTCATCTCTGGCGTCGAGTCCTTTGATGATCAGTCTCCTTCAGCTTGACCTCTTTGAGTGAAGCGACGTAACATTCTCTAGCCACAGTCTGCTCCCCCCTCACGGTGCCGACTCCGAGGTCAGTAAGGAATTTCATGGCCAGATGGTACATGGAAGTGACCGCTTGAAAAGCGGTGCGGCCGAAGATGATGTTATAAGCAGAGGAACAGTCGACGACGAGGAAAGTGAGCAACTTAGTGGTCTGCCGTGGGTATTCTCCAATGGTGATGGGAAGATCGATGGAGCCTATAGAGGTCACCCGATCTCCAGTGAAATTGACCAGTGGGGTTTGGAGAAGGGACAAACTTTCTTCCCCGACCTTGAGCTGGTGATAGGCGTTTAGGAAGATGATGTCTGAAGAGCCACCATTGTCGACAAGCACTCGTCTGACTTTGTAATTAGACAGGGGAGCAGAGATGACGAGGGGGTCGTCATGAGGGTAATGGATGCCTGTGCAATCGGCCTCCGTAAAGGTGATGGCCTCCATTCACTGCTTGGGGTGTTTGAAGGGGCGGTCCAATGTCGCGACCTCTTTATCGGCGCCCTGCCAAATTTTTCTGAGTTCTGCTTGTTGGGCCGAATGGAATGGTCCACTACATGCCAACCCGCCGGCAATAACTCTGATCTCTCCAACCGGGGAGGCAGGGTTGCCTTGTGCTCGGGGTTGCTATGGGGGTCGATCATTGCCTTGGTTAGGTTGGGCGGGTCGTCGAGGAGGGGTGTGTTGGTGGTTGTTTCTGGTAGGTTCGGTCCTTGGCCGTTGGTGAGGCCGGGCCGCCGTGAACCGGCTGAGACGTCCCTGGCGTATCAAGCTCTCGACTTGGTCTTTAAGGTTAACACACTCCTCGGTATTGTGGTCGTGGTCCTGATGGAAACGGCAGTACTTGGACTGGTCTCGCCGATTAGAAGGAGACCGCAATGGTTGTGGCCATTTCAAGAGATAATCTCGTTGGATCTGGTTCAAGACTTGTTCCATAGGAGAATTGAGGGGAGTGTACCGTTCAAACTGGCCGGGTGGTCGGGCAGGTGCCGACCAGTCGGCTCGGGAAGGTCGGTCAATATACTGAGGTGTTTACTGTGTGTACTGGGTGGTTTTGGTTTCAGAGTCCTTTCTCTTCTCTCTAGGGGTAGGGTTTTTGGTTGTGGGGTCTTGTTGGGCGGCTAGGGAATCTTCGGTGTTCATGTATTTTTGGGCTTTAGAGAGGAGGGTTGCCATAGAGGTTGGAGGGTTTTTGGAGAGGTAGAAAAGAAAATCGGATGATCGTAGACTGGCCATGAAAGTCGTGAGAATGACTTTGTCATTGTTTTCCGCCACCTGCAAAGCTTCGGTGTTGAAGCGGGTGACGAAGCTGCCCAGCGACTCTCCCTCCGTCTGACGGATGTTAAGGAGTTGGGTTGCCGGACGCCGCTGGCACTGGGCACCAATGAAATGGTTGAGAAAGGAGTCACTTAGGTGCTGAAAAGTAGAGACAGAGTCCGTCGGCAGCTGACTAAACCACAGTCGAGCTGACCCCTTAAGCGTTACGGGAAAAGCCCGACACATGATCTCATCAGGGAATGCATGGAGGATCATGAGGGTCCTGTAAGTCTCCAAGTGATTGACTGGGTCCGTTGTACCGTCAAAAGAGTCGATCGAGGGCATTTTGAACTTAGGAGGTAGTGGTTTGTCCTTGATGGAGGCAGCGAATGGTGAGTTGGCTGTGGTAGAGGGTTTATTTTGTATGTTCTACATGACTCCTTGAAGTTGGAGTTTCATGGCTCGGAATTCTACATCCCAAAGAGGAGCGTTGTCACCACCGGAATGCAATGGAGGCTGGACACTACTGGCCTCTCCGTCGGGAGCGGGTGCTTGGGCCGATGGATTTGGGGCCCGAGATGGCAGGTTCATATCTTCGGGAAGGGGTCGCAGGCCCTCTAAGTTGGATGGGTGGGATTGTTGGATGGGATGGCTCGAGGCTCGCTCTCGGTTGGGTGGGATATCTTGAGGTGGTGGAGGAGACATAGGAAGGTCTTTTTGAAGCAAAGCATTGATCAGGGCTTGATTTTGTTCAGCTAAGCGGTTAATGCTGTTGGTGAGTTCTGTGAAATAGGGCGGTGGGTTGTTTGGGTTAGGAGGGTCTAGGGTCAGCTTGGGGTGGCAACGTCGTGTTGAGAAAGCATGGAATCTATTTGTGACCAT